TGGTCACCCGCTCCTCGCTGCCCTTCGACGGCTGAAAAACCTGCGCGCGAGGGCGCTACACATCCCGAGCCGCCTCCCCATCCTCGTCCTCCTCAACCCTTCATGATCCACTCCTCGTCGCCTCATCTTCTTCTATATCATCCTCTTGCCCCTGCCCGTCCTACTCCGCCCCGCCCCCTTCCCCCTTGTCCTTTTTTCGAGCGCAAGCTAGAGGGCGCACGCTCGCACCCGTAGCGTCGGCCCCTGTCCTCTGCTCCTCCTCCTCCTCCTCCTCCTCCTCCTGCCCACCTCCTAGTGCTCCTCACCCGCATCCCTCTCGAAAACAAACGTGACAGAACTGACACATCGCGTTCGCGCGTGCTCATCACATGGAGTAGTTACAAACTGGAACGTACTCATTTCTTGCGCTCACCACCTTGCGCATGTGATCGACTACTTGCAACCCCGCGACCCATGGCCGTCGCCGTGGGCACACTCAGGATAACGGACGCTAATCATGCAAGTCACGAGGCTGAACGGCGCGGGACACGAGGCTGCCGGCGTGGTCGTCGTTGTCCCTGCGCTCGCCATCTCGGAGACCCAAGACTGGCCAAGAGGGTCCCAAGAGACCGCCAAGACAGTCCAAGATGGCACGCGAACGCCAGTTCATCCATGACAGACTCCAAGGGTCGCCAAATCCCACCAGCCCTTTGGGCAAAGGTGGCCTAGCGATATCCTTCACTCCTCTTCCAAACCCCTCTTCCCTTCGGGGATGGGTACCGTCCCCCTCCCCTCCCTGAGGTTTTTCGGCGGGTGGCGCGATGCGTCAGGGGGTCCTGTTTCGCTCAAGACGGGTCCAAGAGGGCCTCCGATGCTCCAAGATGGCCTCCAAAACGGCTCAAGATAACCGAAGATGATTCAAGAAAGCTTCCGGCATACCCCCCAGAAACCCGACGAGGGCCACAAGACGGTTCCAAGTGCTCTCGGAGCCCCCTCGGGACCCCCACAGGAGGCCCAAATCCTCCAACATCCTCAGGACAATCAATGACGTTAGCTTTCTCGCCGTTTCGCTTCCGATGCGCTTGTGAGGCCTCAAGATTGCCTCAAGACGGCCCGAGAAACCCTAAGAGGGGCCTACGAGGGCCCCCAAAACGGCCCCAAGATCTTCCGCGATCGGCCCAGGAGCGCCCCAAGAGGCGTTCTTGACAGCCCCAGGGAGGGAGGCAAATTTAGGACCCAGCTCCTTTGACTACTAGCCTTCAAAACGACCTCAAGAGGTTCTCCAGGGATCCCCAAAAGGCTCCAAGAGCGCCCCAAAAGCGTTCCACGAGGGCTGCAAGCGGCGGTTTGCCTCCTCCTCCTCCCCCTCTTCCTCCTCCCCTCGCCCCCCTGCGGGCCCCAGGCATGGCCCGAAGAGGCCCTCCAAGGCAACCCCCTTGCTCTCTGTGATCTCTCTGTTCATGCTGGTTGCCCGTTTTGTTTTATTATGTGTGTCTTCCCATTTCCCGTCAACGCTCATGGGTCGGGTTTCTGAACGGGGTGGTGAGGATTTTTGTTATCGCAACCGCAAGCGAAGGCGCCAGCGGCGTCTCGAGCCGGCTCGGGCTACGAGCAGAACTAATTGCCTGACGCGCGCGCAGACATCAGCAGAACCTGCCGCCGGGGGAAGCTGCTGCGCCGAGGGCTGTGGCTGCAACCGCCGAGGGAAGCAAGCAGCACCGTGGGCGGGACTGCAAGCTGCTGGGGCTGCCAGGAAGCTGCAAGCGTGCGGGTACCCCAGGGGCGAGACCACCAGGATGAGTGAATTGGACCTTGTCGCCGCCAGGCGCCAGAGGTCGGCGCGCCACAGACGTGGCGAAACGCGGGGCTGCATAAACAGTTCAGCGTGCTGGCAGCCTACCGACAGGGGGAGCACGCAAGGTCGATCAAGAAGGCTGAACCACTCCTGAGTGAACCAGCGGTCCGAAATCCTGTAGGGCCAGCGGCAGCGACAGACACGGCTTGCTGAGGCGGTGGGTGGTGAGGATGCGCGATCCGTGAAGATTTGAGCTCGTCTACTTCCTCCTCCCCGTTGCTGCAATTCCTCTTCCGCCTCCTCCTCAAACTTCTCGGCATATTATCATCGGGCTTGCCGGGGCCTCATCGTCCATGACGTACTCCCCGAGCCAATGCCACAGCTTCTCGTGGGGCATCCCGAAGCGCACAAACAGGAAGCCTACAGCCAACTTCGAGACAAATGCAATTCTCGCGGAGGAATGTGAGAAAGAACATGGGGGAAGAGGAGAGATCTGTACCGTAATACGCTCCCTGCTTGTCACCACAGCGTGGGGACTCCGGCCTCTGCCACCCCTGGGAGGGGACGAAAGGAGGGCAGGAAGGAACAGTAACCTGGAATCGGCGATGCATCGCCGATAGATCGGCTATAGGCCCTCGATGGCGAAGCCGCACGTTCCTGGGCGATCGTCGCCCAGGCCCCTGCCTCAGTAGGCTCTCCTCGGCTCCCCGTCCCCCGTCGACTCGTCGCGCCGATGCGCCCACATGATTTGGTGGTTCCAGAATGGCCTGCTGGCATACCGTACGATGGCCTCGAAACCCAAACGGCCTCTCCGCATGGTTTGGGACCCAACGTCGCCCGAGACATTCTCGGATGGTGAAGGACCCGAACCGTGCGCCACCCCCCAGATTGCAAAGGATTCATTTGACAATGATGTTACCACATCGTTTGGGAGCTGTGAGTAAACCTTGAACTTGCATCAAGCTGGCTCGAACGCCCCAAAATCTACCTCTTGTTTGTTTCTTGTTCTCTCTCTCTCTCGCTCTCTCTCTCTCTCTCTTTCTCTATCTCTCTTTCGCACCCCCGCTGGCGCTGTTACGCGCGTGCCCAAATCGTGAGGCTGGCCTACCGTGACACCTGCAAGCTCAACGATAAACGCAAACTGGATATCTACATGCGCAGCCTGCTCCTGCTCCGTTCTGCCCCCCCCTCGCCTCGTGGCGGCAAGCTGGCGCTCCGAGAGACAGAGGGAGAGAGAGAGAGAGAGAGAGAGAAAACGAGAGAGAGAGAGAGAGAGCGAGAGAGAGCAAACAAACGAAAACACGGGAGGGGGGATGGGAACAGGGCCCTCTCCGTGGCACTAGCTGAACACTGTGCTTCGCTGTCGTTTCGCTTTCGGTTTCCTTCGTTCTGCCTTCGTTCTGAATCTGCTGCGAAGCGAAACCAAAACGAAAAGGGTCAGCGAAATCGCCCCAACACCGTCCAGCTCGAGCCCTTGTCCTCTCAATATCTGTCCCCGCTCCTGCCTGGGTCCAGTCCTGGCGACGAGCCCCGACCCAAGCCCCACACTAGAATGCCAGAAGCTCAGAACCCCCCGCCCCTACACTTAGCACAACAAACAATGACCTACGCATGAACTTTCAAAGGTCCCCACGGATTTCTTGGGTCGGCGCTGGACCTCCCTGGCGGCGCCGCCCGCGGCGCGCGCACGAGCAACGCTCCTGCAGACGCGCCGATTAGGAAATTCGCACGGACCTCCGAGAATGTATGTTTTACGCAACTTGTTGTATTACCTTCTGACACCTCCTGGTCGCTGCTGCCTCTGGTCTGCACCGTGCGGCGGCGAGAGCAACCGCATCGGCATGGCAGGCCCTGGGTCCATCCGGGTAAGTCTGTTATCCTGGATCGATTCCTGCCGGTCCTACAAATCCATAGGGACTGACAATGCTGAAACACGTGTTCGAATGTTGCCGTCATCGTCGTCCTCCTCCTCGGTCCTCGATGCCCTGGAGGGGCAGCACGAGCGGTGCTCGAGCGGGCTTGGATTGTCGCGAAAGCGACGCTCAGAAATCTGGAGCGTAACGGCGCTTCCGGATCGCTCGGACGTCCAGGAGCGTAACGGCGCTTCCGGATCGCTCGGACGTCCAGGAGAAGACTGGGCTCGATCCTCGATTCTCGATCCTCAATCTTCGGGGGGGTCGCACTGGGATCAAACATGCGCGGTGGCGGGCCTGCCACGCGCACGTAGGGGGCCTCCTGCGGGGCGGCGCCGAGGCGAGGCCAGTCTTCGACCCCCCCGTCCTCCGCCGTCTCCTCATCCTGCACTCTGCCCCCTCACTCCTCGTCATCGCTTCGCTTCGTTTCGTCTCGTTCGGGGTGGTGCCGCACCCCTGCACGCTGGCGGGCGTGTTCACTGCGTCCAGATGCCCCCAGGCGCTCGCGCCCTGTCGGCTCCAGGATCACAGTGCGTCCAGCATTGTGTTGGGATGACAGGGCTCCAGATTCGCCTCCCGCATCTCGCTGAGCAGCGATGTTGCCGTTACTCGCTGAAGAAAACTGACCGGAAGTGTCCATGAAGTAAGGTGGGCGACGAACCGTAGTGTGTCCCTGCTTCTTCACCTGAGCGGGATGTCCAAAAACCGCCCATCCACATCCTCATCCCGATCCCCCCACTCCTCTTCCTCATCCATGTGCAGTCCCTCCTCCACTTCCTTCTCCTCCTCCTCCTGCTCCTCCTCCTCCTCCTCCCCCTCCTCCTCTCCCTCGTCCTCCCCCTCTTCCTCCTCCTCCTCCTCCTCCCTCCTCCTCCTCCTCCTCTTCCTCCTCCTCCTCCTCCTCCACCTTCCTCCCCTCTCTTCCAAATGCCCCCCCCCCCGTCCTCCTCCTCCTCCATTTCCTCCTCCTCCTCCTCCTCCTCCTGTTCCTCCTCCTCCGCATCCTCCTCCTCCCGCGCTGTCACAGGGCCCCGGGGTGCCTGCGCCGCCGGGCCGAAACGCCCTGGCGAGCGCGCGCGCGCACAACCAGGCTCAGTGCGGCCACTGCCGATTGTCCCCCAGCCCGACCCCCCCACCCTCCCCGGTCCCAACCGGATGGGGGGGCGCCTCCCCCTCCCCCCCCCAGGGGGGGATTATACGCCCCCGCCCCTGGTTCGGACGAAGGGGGGAGCGCGCGCGTCAGTAACAATAGAAAACGATCCTTCAAAAGTCAGACGGCCGCATGCTGGACACTTCCCCGTAGTGCATGTTTTCCCGCGCTCGCAGGCTGGGTGAGTGACTCGCGACCACCTGCGGAATTTCTGCAGCCCCTGGGGTCGCAGGAGGAACGCGAACCTCCTCAATCCCAGGACGCATGCGAAGGGAGGAATCCGAGCCTCCGCGACAGCAGCGTGGCGCGGGAGGAGCGCGAGCCTCCGCGCGAAAAGGCCCCGGCGGCGGAGGAGCGCGAGCCTCCGCCCGCCAGGCGGAGCGCAGGAGGGGCACGAGCCTCCGCGCCGAAGCACGAGCGTCGCAAGAGGGCGCGAGCCTCCGCGGCACTCACGACATGGCCGCCTTCTAGGACGGGAGGCCGAGCGTCGCCACGAACGCAATGCGCTCGTCCCTCTCCATGCCCGAAACGTCGTCGACAACTTCATCAGCGGCCGCGTCGAGCCAGGCCTCCGCCTGCGCCAAGGCGGTCTTAACCCGCTGGACGCCAACGGCCGCCTGCTGCGTGACGTCGTACTACCTGGCAACCGTCGCGATGCGGGCCAGGCCGTACTGGACCAGGGACGAGATGCCCGCGTGCGCGACCTGCGACACGGAGCCCCCGAAGCCACAGGCCAGGTTGGGCCTCCACCTTCTCGGTCTCCACGATCATCTGGGCCTTCGCCGTGGAGGCTGTCGCATCCATGTGCTTCACGGGGCCGTCCGTGATCGCAGCCAACTTCTTCACCTCATCCCTGGCCTTGTTATTTTCTGACTCGCAGTGGGTCTTGTCCAGGGCTTGCAGACGGCGCCGCCCTCCACGCTGGCGACGCTTGTCCTCCAGCGCGGTCCTGGGGAGGCTGTCAACCCCAGCGCCAAGGCTGTCCTTCAGCGCCACGTTCCTGTACGGCTTCCGCCACGGCGTCACGCTCCTCTGCTCGACCTTGCGGGTGAGGAAGGGCCGCGCCATGCCAAGGCGCGCGTCGACCTCCTTGCGCACCTCGTCGGAACCACTGACGTCCGCGACTTGGTTCTCCTCGTACTCGTGCACGTTGTCGCCATGCACGATGTGGGGCGACGGGGCTGGCTTGGTCAGCACCTTCACGCCAGTGCGGATCGCCGCCGCAACCGCCGCCGCGACGACCTGGGGACTTCCTCCTCCAGCAGCAGCGCCAGCCGCCGCCGCCTGCGCGAGCGGGCCGAGGGCCACCAGCATCGCGCGCACATTCCCCCCCAGCGCATTGAATTAACGCCTACATGCGCGAGAACACGTGCCAAAGGCCCGTGCACAACGCGTGTTCGATACTCCCCCTCTGCGCACGTGCTTTCACGTGTGGAGAATCGGATGCCCCTTGCTGTCCATCGTTCCAGTCAAAGGTTAGGTCGGGCATGTCCTCCTACAGCGGATTTTGGACGAAGCAGTAAATATATGGAAAAAGATTCACCATACGAATTTTGAGCATTGTTGGTACTCCTCCTACAGAGGGACAGGCCCCACTTGAGTCTAGGGCCAAAGGCTTGACTTCCAAAGAGAGCCCTGGGCCCACGCCCGTACTGGAAAGAGAACGTGCTCAGTGCATGTGGGTCCAAAACGTAAGTCAAAACACGTGCTCTATGCATGTTGGATACGACCGCCGTGGCCTGCAAGCTGCTAGACCAATCGCGTGCCAGACGCATGTTCGATATCCTATCGCACGCCAGACAAAATAAATATGACACATGAGCACGTGCCGAATGCATGCTCGGCACCCCCTCTCCGCGCACCTATGGTTTCGCGTGTCCGCCAGTCGCATGCTGGAAACGCTTACTTGACGCCTTGGCGCAAACACACGCGAGAACACGTGCCAAATGCCCTTTGCGCCCCACACATGTTCGATGATACCCCCCCCCTTCCGCGAGCGTATGGTTACGTGTGGCGGGTCTGGCGCTCGTTCCTTTACACCCATCTGATGTGAGGCCAAACGCCCGACGGACCAAGAGAACCATCAGCTCACCCCCATACAAGAAACACGCGCAGAGTAGATGCACGCTGTGCGCTGCACCGCGACGGCAAGCGCAACGACACCTGGGCAAGCAGCATCAGTATCCTGCCGATGTCGGGAACGAAGTGCATGTCCCAAGTTGACCCCCGTTCACTTCGTCTCAAGTTCTCGCCCAGAATTGCATTGAGACCTCTGATCCGAGGCAACTTTCCTTTCTCGCGTGGTATGTCCCAGGCAGCAAACGAGGAAGCAGGCCCTTCCTCGGTGTCTTTGTCAGTGAGCTCCTGTAGGAACAGCCATGCCAACTCGCGGGCCAAATTGTGATCCCACGACATTGCATTGTGGCTGGTGAGTCGCATTTCGGTCCCATGATCTGCATGTTCGGCTGATTGGGTCACATTTTTTTTTCCCCGCCGAGTCCGAATCGGCAGTCCTGCGCAAAGGCGACAGGCAACCTAGATGGCAACCACGACGGTGCGAATGTCAGTCCTACCGGGCAAGTCCGAGATATTAGCGCAGAGCGCGGACGGGTCAAAAGCGACGGCGGTGGATGCCTTCCACACAGTTCGACGCTCATGCACCTGATTTGGTAAAACTTATGTACAGTACTCTGTCCCCCCCACACACACAAGCGAATTCACAGACGCCAGCACTGCATCTCGCAGGAAGGGAGGAGGGAGCGGGAGAGAGGGTGTGGTGCAATGAGGAAGGGGGGAGAGAGAGAGAGAGAGAGGAAAACAAAAAAAAGAGCGGGCGAAATATACTTCTTGTGTTGCGAGAGGATGCGTGAGAAAACGGCGCCGTGCTGGGCGCGTGCCGGAACACCCAGTCCAAGGCTCTCGGCACGGGCTTACGACGCTACTTGCACAAAGTGCCACCTCGCACAAGCCTGGGGTCGTCACAGCGCGATCAAAGTGGCCACCCCGCTCCCAGCCCCAAAGAACCCCACACGATCTCACCCGGCTCAGGACTTTACGCCGTGGTGCCACGCCACAGGGCACCCTTCGGGCAGAGCCCAGCTCGCCAGATGCGGCGGCCCCATGGAAACAGCATGCAAAGAACGCTCAGTGATCAAGGCGCAAAGGATCCTCCTCCCGACCCAGCTCTCCCGGGCATCCCAATCTGCCTCGCTCGGCCCCAGCCTAAGAACGCACCAGCGGTAGCCCGTATCGGCGTTGGTGTCTAATGCTTGAACGTGAAACCATGGTGTGCCCAGATAATCCACAAACGGGGCTGAGATCCTCGTCGTCAGATGGGATCAACCTCGAAGGTAACACCTATGCATCGATCACGGATCAATTAAAATGGAAGATCTCCCCACTGATTGTGAGGCCTAGCTACTACACTGCCTGCGAGACAGTTCGGGAAGCGGCATGTCCATAGCAACTGTCTTAAATTGCATGCAACGCGCTCATCTAATCACGCTAAGCAACAGGGCTCGAAAGCCGAAAAAGAAAGTAATGCAAAGGTCGTGGACACAATCATCAATCCATACATATATATATATATATGTATACATACATGCATACATACATACAGACGTGCATACATGCATCTATTTATACATACGTGCATCCATACACACATACATACATTCATACATGCATACATGCATACATGCATGACTGCACACATACATCCATATATATATATATATAATACATACATACACACGCCTATACATGCATACATACACACATACATACACACATACATACACACACATACATACATACATACATACATACATACATACATACATGCGTGCGTGCGTGCGTGCGTGCGTGCGTGCGTAGGTACGTACATACATACAGGCATACATACATACATACATACATACATACATACATGCATATATACATACACGCATCGAATACATACACATTTACATATACAAGTACTAGAACCACGCGTGCGCTTCGCGCGCGCTTAGGTTCTAGTCGACCCCATCCCTTGAGGAGGTCCCGTATCCACTGAAGTAATTACCCATTGATGGTGTAAGCATGAGGTACAAGAAGCATCCATAATGCTGGCCGAACAAAACCCAAGCACCGACAATGACATATGCTCCTTAATCCGCCGACCCTGTCGGCGTGTGTGAGGCGCTCTTCCGTTTGTCGTCGTCGGTGTCGTCGTCGCCGTCGCCGTCGTCGTTGTCGTCGTCGTCGCCCTCGCCATCTTCCCCCTTTCCCCGGGCCCTCTTCCTCAACCGATCCAGCCAATACGAAATCGAATCGAACAACGAAGGGAAGCACCTTCCCTTGATCCCTTCCCCAACGGGGGGGGTGTCCCGGGGCAACTCCCGGGGGGTGGTCCTGGCGGGTGGTCTCGGGGGGTGGTCCTGGGGGGTGGTCCCGGGGGGGGGCCCTGGGGCCCGTGGGGCTCCTGTTATTGTTTTGCCGATCCCGAATATGTGGCGGAGGGTCCCCGGGACCCCCTCAAGAACCGGGGGGAGAGAGCCTCTCCTCCCTTCCCCCCAGCGTCCCCGCTTTGCCCCCCCTTCCAAGCGTCCCATGCTCCCCCTGTCCACAGGAGGGAGCCTCCCCCACGGGCCAGTCCCTCCCTCCACAGGGGGGAGCGACCCTCCTTGGTCGTCGTCGTCGTCGTTGTCGTCGTCGCCGCCGTCGTCGTTCAGGGTCGGCGGCACCGGCAGTAAGACCTCTCCAGTATTCAATTCGAAGCTATGCAAGCCAGTTTAGCCAAACACATGCAAGGCTATGAATGCAATGCAAAGCAAAGGAAAGCGATGCTCATAAGTGCAATGTGGATCACGAGCCAAAGCAATTGCACATGCAACGGAAAGCAGCCCAGTGGAATGCAATGCAATACAATGCACGATAAGACAAAAGACCGAGAGAGTCCGAGGCGTCACGGAACTCAGAGATCCCAGGGACGAGCCGCCCTGGGAAGAGCCCAAGAGGACCCCAAGGGGAGCCCAAGACAGGGTCAAAGGGCACCCAAGAACATCCAATGAGTTCTCCGAGAGAGGCTAAGGGGGGCCCAAGCGTGGCCCCGAAAGAGCTCCAAGCAGGCTCCAGAACGAAGCACAGGAGGGCCCCAAGAGGCGCCCCAAGAAAGCCCGAAGATAACGACAGAAAGAGAGGGTCCAAGGAAGTGCCTCCTCAGCGCGACAAAAAACGCAGAGGCCCACAAGGAGCCCCAAGAAGGGCGTTCTCAACAGCCCCATCCCTTGAGAAGGTCACAGCTCCACTGAAGCAGTGACCCACAACTGACTTGAGCTCGAGGTGAAAAAGTACCGATCATGCGGATGGAAGCGAGACCTACGGCCCTAAATGAAGGCGGGGTTCACATGGCGCCCCCCCGTCAATTTCGGCACGGCACTCACACGGATCTTGTCCCCCTGGGAGCTCCTCTTTCGGGTCCAGGGACAAAGTTCGCACGGCGTCGCCCCGCCCATCTTGGCACACCCAACACACGAATCGTGCCCCAGAGGGATGTCTTTTCACGTACGGCCTTAGTGTGGGGATTCGCATAACGTCACGTCCCCCCCCACGCCTATGTCGACTGTCTCCTCACACGAATCGTATCAACAGGGAGCTCCACCGACGGTTCCAGAGCCAACGTTCGCATCCCGCCGCCCCGCCCATGGCAGTAAATACACCCCTGACCTGGATCGTGAGTTCGGGGCGTCTTGGGTGCTTCTGTGGGCCACGCGGCATGTTTCTGTGAGGCCTCTGAAGCCCTGAGATGGATCGTGAATCGGGAGCCTCTTGAAGCCTTTTCTGGGAGCCTCGTGCAGGACGTCGAAGCGAGACCTCCAATACGCTTACGGGTGACTACTGGGAAGCCTCCTGGGACCGTTTTGGAAGCGTTTGGGGAGTCTCTGGGGGCCTCTTGGGACCTTCTTGGGGGTCCTTTTGGGGCTCTTTGGGGCTCTTTGGGGCCCTCTTGGCCCGTCCCGGGGCCCTCTTGGACCGTCTTGGGCGCTTGGGCCGTCTTGGGGCCCTCTTGGGGCCCTCTTGGGCCCTCGCGGGTGCCTTCTGTGGCCCTCTTGGGGCTCCCTGGGGACTCTTTTGGGAACCTCTGGGGACCGTCGTGGGCCGTCGGGGGGCTCTCATGGGCCGTGTTGGAGCTCCCTTGGGCCGTCTTGGGGCCCTCTTGGGGGCCTCTTGGGTCGTTTTACGGCCGTCTTGGGGACCTTTGGGTCCGTCTTGGGCGCTGTTAGGACCGAAGAAGCGAATCTGCTAAAAACGTACGTTTTCCGATAGGAATTTGGCTGTTTTTGCCTTTTGGTGACCTTCTGGGAGGCCTCTTGGGCCGTCTTGAGGGCCCTTAGGCCAAAAATATCATTTCCCCG